CGCCCGTGCTTACCTTGCTCCCGGAGACCCGGTCCCTCTCGGGATGGTAGCAAGGGAGCCGTCTGAGCTCTAGTGACTGGGTTTTACCAGCATCATAGCAACACACAAACTACCGTAGCACAACACACAAACTACCATAGTATAACAAACTGGTGATAAGTAGTTCAAAAATATTATTTTAACATAATAATAAATTGGACATTCATCTATCAGGATATAAACTACAAAATGTCCATGCATTTTTAAAATAAAGCATGAGTCTTTTCAGAAATTTTTAACTCAAAGATGATATTATATGATGGCCTGCACTACACATTCACTCTGCAGTTCAGGGACCCTTAGGCAGAAAACCCAGTGAAGTACCACTGCAGAGTGTAGCTCCAGCTCTCACCTGCCTATGGAGGTTCTAACTCTCTGAGCCCACAGAGAGGCTTCTGCACCAAACACAGACAGCAAGATCATGTCTTGCCCTTCCAGATGGAAGCAAGTTTGCAGCCAGCAGCATTGAGAAACTTCCATGTTGGGCCTAGACTGCCACTCCCTACCCCCTTGCTCAGGACAGCAGTTTCTCACACTGTCTTGAGAAACTAGACAACATCTCACCCCTACTCCCTACTCCTGAAAGACTCTCCTACCCAAATGCTGTAGGACCTGAGTCCCACCTTTCAAGAACAAGTCAAGCCACTTACAATGTTTGTTGGTTTACCTCTGTTCTGGTACCCCGGGAATGCAGAGCATTTACATTCTGCCTCTTTGGTGTGAGTTCATTCAACTGCATTTAAGTGGAAAAGCACCCACTTTTGGAGGGTGGGGAAAGGAATGCAGTGAAATGGCAGAAGACAGGCAAGGGTCCCTAAAGACAATCTCCACTTGTATCCCATTCTCACTTTGGGCCAGCCATGTGTGCTTGACCCAGCCAGAACTGAGCTACTCAGGGAATATTCCCCACCATGCCCTGCAGAGAGAGGGAGCAGTGCTCCATCCACCCTGCGCATCCTTTGTAGAATGTCTCTAAGGGATTGCAGCAAAGCTCTTGACAAGGAACAAGGCAACATCTAACAGAAGGTAAAGAATGCTATTATGGGACCTTTGAAATGCTCCTGCTGTTAACACTCCAGCCAAAGCCCTTTCCAGGCTCAGAGATGCTCCCCCTGCCCAGGAAGAACAAATTGCCTTGCCCTCCCTCACCAACATTGCTCCTCCCCCAGAAGGACCCAAGGGCCAAAAGCCTATGTGCAATGCTGAAGAAGGCAAAGACAGAACCCCAAATATTTTCCAACCAGAAATTAGAGCAGTGTCATGAGGAGGCACTTGTGCACACATGTATGCACACACACACATGTATGCACACTCACAAACAACAGCACTACAATGTACAGTGAGTTCTGTTTCACTCACTGATCCAATGAAATTATCTGGAGTGGGGCTGTGTGTGAGAAAAGAGTCTGCGTGAACAGCTGTGTGCCTGAAGGCTGTCCATTCCTCTCTGATCCCAGATCTCTCTGGGATGCTTATTAGAAAGGAAATAGATACTAAAACACAGTCCAGTTCATCTTTTTCTGACCTCTGTAATTCTAAATTTTCAGCAAGCCATAAAGAAAATTCCCCCAATTACAAGGGAGTTGTAAAGCTGTACATAGTATCTGTTACACTAAGACTCTTACCAGCCATTGACAATATGCACACACACACACACACACATCAGTTCACTCTCTTGTATTTGTTTTTCTACATAGAATAGAAACTCCAGAAACTAGACTAAGAAAGCTCTGTCTTCAATGGTCATTTATTCTCTGGGGAAATGGAGAAGATTGAGCTGATTAGCACCTAGCACCAAGTTTTACTCCAAGCAAATGACCAGTGAGGGTTTGTTTAATAACTACATGAATAATTGGATGATTGTATTTAATGATATTTATATTTATTATGTGACTTTAAAAAATAATCATCTTTTTGAGGGGAGTTTCACTTTGATGGTAAATGCAATTCTTCTCATTTGTTTCTCTTCCAGTATTTCATTCTGATGTTTATAGTGTATGGCTTTGAGGTGGCATCTTGTATCACAGCAGCAACACAACGAGACTTTGTGAGTATATTCTCAAAAAGCACAGAGAAAAAATGATAATGAATGATAATGATAATGATCCTCATAATAACCATAGTACTATAATAGTCAGTATGTATGAAATCCTTACTATATGTAAGGTGCTGGAGTCCTCATGGCTTAGTGGTTACACAGTTGGCTACTAACTGCAGGGTCAGCAGTTTGAACCCACCAGCCATTCCACAGGAGAAAAATGTGACAGTCTGCTCCCATAAACATTTACAGCCTTGGAAGCTCTACGGTTCTACTCTGTCCAATAGTGAGAATCAACTCGATGGCAATGGGTTTGGTTTGGTTTATGAGTCAGGCACTCTCATTTGCATATTAATAATATATATAATCTCATTTTTGTAGTAACCCTATGAAATAGGTATTTTCACAAATGTCATTTTATAGACGAAAAAACTGAGACTTAACAAAGTAAAGTAACTTATCCAAAATTACACAGCTTGTAAATAGAAGAGCAAGAATCCCGAGCCCAGGCCCCCTGACTCCTGGGGCCCAAGTTTGCCACCCCTATGCTCTGCACTACTCTGCCATGGCCACTTGCCTTCCAGTGGGATGATTAATATTCTACCACATCTAAGACTTACTCTCAGTTCACCATGCTTCTTCTTTCCTTTTCTCCATTTCCCTAGCCTACACCACCTTAAAATGCCTGACCAGCACAGTCTCACTCACAAGTATTCTCCCTAAATAGGGATTTCTGCCAGCCAGAAGCAGCCTCACACCCACACCCACCCCTACTTGGAGGCTCCGAGCACAGAGTTGCTCCCCACAGGAGACAGTATCCAATACCCCAGCAACAGACTAAGAAAAATACTTACCCTCCCTAGAGATTAGTGTGCTAACTATCCCTTTTATGTTGCCCCTCCCACTGTAGTTCACAACCAACCTCTTCCTGAAGCAGATGCTGGAGAGGTACCAAAACAACAGCCCTCCAAACAATGATGACAGGTGGAAAAACAATGGAGTCACCAAAACCTGGGACAGGCTCATGCTTCAGGTAATGCTTCACAGTCTTGGGGAGATGCCATTTTGTTTCTAAACCAGTGACCAGGGTGTATGGTTGGGAGTGAAGTCCATATATGAGGACCACAGACTTCAAGGGGGTTACTTTCAGGAAGAGTCTTGTATGGGCCAATTCCTCTAGTCCTCTTGTTCATTGGCAGGAAGAGGTATTCACATGACTCAATGGAACACTAGATTTATATTTTCTTTGAAGTCATGATGTTGATTAGTTTCCATTTATAGGGATAATGACATTGTAAAAATATTTAGATTTATCATACATTCTGCCTCTTAGAACTCAGGTATCATTTCCATAAAAAGAAAAATGTTGCCTCTCCTCCTCACCCTCCCAGTGAATTCTTGTGATAATTGCCATCTGTTTGGTTTATTTGGTAACTTCCCACACCTCCTAGGGCCTAGTTCTGCTAAACACTCTAGTCTTTGACTTAATTTGATCATCCAGTTTTCTCTAACTAGCAATCAAGTTTACTTGATTGTCCAAGTTTAGTGCAAGTACCATCAGAAGTCCAGGTTTTCCAGGATATCCATTATCACCTTCACATTGCCCTGGGTATATCAATTCTTATCCCACATTTACCTACATATCCTCTAATCTGACACAACTTTCACACTGCCCCCTGGTTCCCTCCCCATCCCATTACCAAATTTTTGCAATTTGTCATCAGCAAACTGTTTTATAAACTTCACCTCTTCTTTGAACTCTCTTTACCCTCTTGCTTCACCAGAAACTTAGTGGTTTCTTGGTGGCATGGCTTACCCTTCAATCTCTTGTTTTTCTCTCATACCTCATGTACCATACTGAAAACCAAAGCCATTGTCGTTGAGTCAATTCCAACTCATAGCAACCCTATAGGACAGAATAGAACCACCCCACAGGGTTTCTAATGCTATAAATGTTTATACTTTGTGTCATATCTTTCCCCCATGGAGCAGCCGGTGGGTTTGAACTGCAAACCTTTCAGTTAGCAGTGAAGCACTTAACCACAGAGCTACCATGGTTCCTCCATGTATCATAGGGCCTGGAAATTGGGAGTCTTCCTTGCTCCCCTTAGCTGCTGTACTATCTCCTTCCTTTTTTTCTTTCCCTCCCTCCCTTCCTCCTTCCTTCCTTCTTTCCTTTTTCCTTTCCTCCTTCTCTCCCTCCCTTCTTTCCATCTTTCTTCCTCCTTATCTCACTCTCTTCTTCAAGTTTTTGAAGCTTATACTATCAGTCTCTATTGCCCACTATCCCTCCTTGTGCTTTATTTATCAACCACCCTCCATCCAGTCCTTCTTCTGCCTTCTTTGAGGCTTTCCATACATCACTCACTGACCTTCTCTTCACTTATATTCTTGTCACCCTATGTAAAGCTTTCACTACCACATGGGTGACTTAGACAATATTCTGGCCTCTCAGTTCCTTTACTACTTCATTCCAAAGAACTTGTCTTCCATTCCACCCACAGTGGGAAGTCACCCACTTCCATGGTCACAGCCAGTATGTTATATAACTGAATATGCCAATAAGTGCACCACCTGAAAACTTTTGATTTCAGGCATCTCACTCTGACCTTTACCTTCTATAATTTCCTTCTAATTTATTCTATTATTCTTTATATATTGTAATGTACTTCTAAAATATATTCTACTATTTTAATGTTTTCTACATGTTTCTAGTTTATTCTAATATTCCCATTCCAACTATTTTTTTTTTTTTACTACATTAGTACCTCCAATCCATTGGCCACTTTCTCACTCTCTATCACCCTTGCCATGTTCTCTCCTTCTTACCTAAGATTTCATGGTCCAGTCCAATAATCATTCCTACACAGCTTCTTTTACTTTTTTACCTGTCTTTATTTTTTCCTAAAAAACCCTCACTGTGCTTGAATACAACCTTTTGCCCCTCCCTTGCCTACATCCTAACATCTACACATTTCTAGAACAAGTTATAAACCATGCTAACTAATCTCAATTAAAAGCTATGGCATAATAACCACAGGGAGGAAGTGCAAAGAGAGCTGTTATATTGTGTGGAATTGCAGTCAATGTCATGAAACAAAATGTGTAAGAACTGTTGTATGGAAAATGAATTTGCTCTGTAAACTTTCACCCACCCAAAACAAAATAAAAATTAAATGAACAAATAAAAAACTTTAAAGAGGTCTTTTGCAGCAGATTTGCCCAGTGCAATACCTTGTTTGATTTCTTGACTGCAGCTTCCATGGGCATTGATTGTGGATCCAAGTAAAGTGAAATCCTTGACTACAACAACAAAATAAATTATGACTATAAATCTTAAATCAGTACTTGATATTTCCTGGTATATTTTCCCAGAACATTCACTTACCACTCACTATTTTACATATTTTTCCCTCTCTTCACATCTACAACACCACTTCTTACCCTCACTCTCAGCTGATTTCCTGCCCTCATATTTAATTAGAATATAGAGGCATAGGCAAGAACCTCTTCATCTTTCTACTACCAGAGTGACCCTTCTACCTTCATCTGCACCCATGTCCTTTGCTTTCTTGCTTGTTAATGCAAATGGCCAGTCCTTTGTCCAACTCCTTTGCTTCTGCTCTGCATTCTGTGTTCTTTGCTCCCGCAATCACTCTGATCTGCTTATCAGTTTCTTCCTTGTATCAGCTGTGGAAACACCTTAAATTTGCTCATATTTTCAAAACTTTTCTCTTGTGTGACATTCAAGAAACCCTGGTATCACAGTGTTTAAGCACTTGGTTGCTAACTGAAAGGTCAACAGTTTAAACTCACCAGCAGCTCCATGGGAGAAAGATGTGGCAGTCTACTTCTGGAAAGATTATCATTGTTGTTAGGTACTATTGAGTCAGTTCCAAGTCATAGTGACCATATGTACAATAGAAGGAAAGGCTGCCCCGTCCCAGGCCATCATCATAGTCATTGCTATATTTGATCCCATAGTTGTATCAGTCCATCTTGTATCAGTCCATCTTGTTGAGGGTCTCTTTTATTGCTGATCTTTTACTTTATCAGCACCTTCTCCAGGGATCTGTTCCTCTTGATAACATGTCCAAAGTATGGGAGACAAAGGTTCACCATCCTTGCTTCCAGGGAGGATTCTGTCTGTATTTCTTCTAAGAAACATTTGTTTGTTCTCTGGAAGCTCATGGTTTATTCAGGATTTTTCACCAACACCATAATTCAAAGGCATCAGTTCTTCTTCAGTCTTCCTTATTTATTGTCCAGCTTTCATATGCATATGAAGTGATTGACAATACCATGGCTTCGGTCAGGTATGCCTTATTCCTCCAAATGAGACTTCTGCTTTTTAAAACTTTAAAGAGGTCTTTTGCAGCAGATTTACCCAATGCAATACGTCAATTGATTCTTTGACTGCTGCTTCCATGGAGGTTGATTGTGGATTCAAGTAAGATGAGTAAACACTTCCAACACTGCATTCATTTGTTGAAACATCTCAGTTGGTATTCTGTCAACTTCAGGAGCCTTGGTTTTTGCCAGGGCCTTCAGTGCAGCTTAGACATCTTCCTTCAATACCACTAGTTCTTGGTCATATGCTACCTCCTGAAATGGTTGAATGTTGATTGATTATTTTTGGTACAGTGCTCCATTTATTCCGTCCATCCTCTTAATGCTTCTTGTGTAAAGATGATAGCCTTGGAAACCCTATGGGGCAGTTCTGTGCTGTCCTTTGGGGTCACTATGAGTTGGAATCAACTTGACAGCCATGGTATGATATTCACCCACTACTCTGCTCTAACATTATTCTATTTTATGCCTCTCATCTGCTTTTATGGTTGCTGAGTGGTGCCAACAGTTTCCACTTGACTACTGATCTAAAGATTGGCAATTCAAACCCACCCAGTGGCACTGAAGAAGAAAGTCCAGGTCATCTGCTTCTATAAAGATTACAATCAAGAAAACCCCATGGAGCAGTTCTACTCTGTAACACATGGGATTGCCATGAGGCAGAATTCACTCAACAGTGGCTTTGATTTGGTTTTCCATCTGCTTTCATCCAACTACAATTAACTTCTCAACCCAGCAGTCCACTACAATGATCCCATCAATCATCATTTACCTTCGTCCTGCCATATCCAAAGTTCAAGTTTCTGCCCTCCATTTACTGGGCATCTCATCAGCATTCAGCCACTCCTTCTCTGTGACCTTTGCTGGATTTCCAGCCTCTTCCCAGCTCTGAATATTGGAGTGCTAAAACACTTGATTCTGAATCCTTGTCTCTTCTGTCTCTATTTAAATGATAGTATTCAATCCAATGGTGTTAAATATCATTTATATGCTGATGATCCTAAATGTCTTATTTCTAGCTCTAAGCTCATCTGTGAGCCATTACCCACCCACTTGGCATTTCCATTTGAATGTCTAATAGGCATTTTATGTTAACTCGGCCAAAACAAAATTGTATTCAATCAACTTCAAAGTCCTTTTCTTTATTCCTGAAGATGATTTAAATTTCCAGGAGTTTAAATATCATCTTAGCATTAGAGAAATTTTGCTCTTCTTTGTAACCCAAACCAAACCAAACTCACTGCCATCCAGGCAATTCTCACTCATAGTGACCCCCTTTGGGTTTCTGAGGTGGTAAATCTTTAGGGAAGTAGATTGCCCAATCTTCCTTCTGCAGAGTGGCTGGTGGGCTTGAACCGCCAGCCTTCTGGTTAGCAGTCAAATGCCCTAGGCACTAGCTTCTATTAAAGTTTGTGCTGTATCTTCTGCTGATGCCCCCAGTCCACCATGATGTCCAATGGTAAGTCTATTTTCTTTGCTTCCTCTTCCTCCCACCTATTCTGTCCTGCTGGCCTTCTAAGTAATACTGGGCTGCTATTCTGAAATAGCAGGCTCAAAGAATTCCAGGCACTTTTTTCAGCCATTGTATGTTACAGACTGCTGGGGCTGTGCTGAGTGTGAGACATCTGGTAGACTTATAGCTGTCCCAAGCAGTTCCTGAGAATCAAAAGAACATTCCCCCATGTCTTAAGGTTATTTCTAATCTAAAGGGGCAGGGTACAAATACCATTGTCAGTTACTCACTGGCATTTAAACATTAGTCATGTTCTATCCTATCCTCCTCCTCCCTTCAGCAGGTCAGATTCTTACTTCCTTCTACGGGAGAAAATTCTAGTATCTTTATACTTTTCTCCCTGCTCTATATAAGTATTGTTTAAAGGCATGTTGGAGCCCATCAGTGGATTGTGAACTCAATTTAATGGGTCATAATCAGCATCTTTTTAAATAAATGAAAATAGCATAGTTAATGTCTATGCTTGCTGCACAGTGTAAGAATAAGTACTGTTTTGTGAAAGCTTTGTTTCTACTTTGTGTGCATATATAGGGTCATGATATAAAATAGACTACATTCAAAAATTTTGAGAAATGCTAATGTAAGTTTTTGACCTCACACTTCCAGGCTTTTGGATTTGATGTCTAATGTTTAGCTTCTTAAATTCCCCTAACATGTCCTTGTTGCAAGTAGATTGCTCTCCCCCTTGAAAAGTATCTATTTTGAAGCCAAAGCCAAAATTGAATTTCTTTGTTTCACTAGATCGTGCCCCTCTATCCTGAGAAAATTAATCTTAACCTTGTGGTCTACTTTTAACAGGGACAGAGGTTCTGAGGAAAATAAATTTTCTAGAAAGGTAAAATAGATTGAGCGAAACACTGTACTAAATTGGATGTTTCACTTAAAGCACTGCTAAATTAAACCTTCTGCTTTATTGAACCTAAAACCCTTAAGAATGTTTCCTTCCTGTTCATACTTTGTGTTTGACATTGGCATCTACTGGTACATTTCTACTGGTACATTGTGATATTGCATCCCAGCTCTATTACATATTTTAAATCCCATGAAAAAGAGAAAAAGAAGGCATACTTCTTGCTCATACATTATTCCGTTTAATCTTAAAAACAGTTCTGTGAGATAGGTGTTATTAACGTCTTCTCACAGAGGAGGAAACCTAGACTTAGGGTAAGATATTTACCCAAAGCCGTATAGTAAGTGGCAGAGCCAGGATTTAAACCTGGTCTTCTGACTACAGGTCAAGTATTTGTTAGCAAGAACTAAGCTCTTCAAATGAATATATGAATGCTCACACATTTGAAAAATCTCTTTACTGATTCTTTAAAACTTAGTGTGCAATAAGCCTGGCTCACACTTAACCATTTTTCTCCAAAAATCTCAGGTCAAAATACAGGATGATTACTTTTCCTGGTTAAATATTTCTCATAATCCAGTGGCAAAATAGGACCTGCTTTAAAGGCAGATAATTTATCACGATATTTGCTTGAAAATGTTAATTGTAAACATTGAGAGATATTTGTAGTTTCAACATCTTTCCTTGAAACATTTTAGTAGAATTTATTTAAGAAAAAAAAAAGGAAGGACAGTTATGTGATTTTTTTTTCCTATATTTAATTCTATCCTATACATAAGAATATTAGCTACATGTTAATTGATCTATCTTTGCTATGTAAAATCATCATTATATGCCACTGGGTAAGTCACTTAGTTTTGGTTCTCTTTTTCCAGTTTATTTCTCCTTTTATAAAAGTAATACATAATTATTCTAGGAAATGTTAGAAATACAGAAAAATAAAATGAGAAGAGTGTTCTGGTTACCTAGTGCAGCTCTAACAAAAATACCACAAATGGGATGGCTTTAACAAACAGGAGTGTATTCTCTTACAGTTTGGAGGCTTTAAGTCCGAGTTCAAAGTGCCAGGCTCTAGGGGCTGGGTGAAAGCTTTCAACTGTGGGCTTCAGCTCTGCCTCTTGCTCCCTGCCCACTGAAGTTAGAGGCATCTCTTCACTCAGGCAGCTACTGGCTGCTGAGGCTAATAAGCCCAAGGTTGACAAATATATAAAATGGCACAGTTCCAATGTTACCAAACCACACGGCAGGCCATTGATTCAAGCCCATTCAAAGTCCCAGGATCGGCCGAGAATGGCAGGCCGCTGAACAACAACACAGCTACATGCAGGGTTCAAGCCATAAGCTAGAGACCATTCCCAAAGCTGTTTCTTATATATGGTAAGCAGACCACAGACGCAAAGCAGCTACTCAGCTGCTCTAATAGATTCCAGCATGGAGTTAATTACCAATCTCACCATGGGGAATACCTACATTCAGCTGCCCAGCCACTCGACCAGGCCCAGCCAAGTTGACACACAAACTTAACCACCACAAAGAGTTATTCATGGTTTTATTACCAATAAAATTTTCTATTGAATTTTCTGATTCTCTGTTTGCTTGTATGTAATATTAGAATAAGTATACTTCTCTCACACTGCTGTATATTAGTAATAATAATAATTAATATTTATTAAGGGTTACCTATGGGCCAGGCACTGTACTAAATCAGGATTTTAACTTATTTAATCCTCACAACAACTCTAGGAGATGAATATTATATGCACTCCAATTTTACAGTTAAGGAAACTGAGTCTTACAAAGTTGACGTTAACTTGTCAATGGCTACAGAGCTCATTAATGGCTAGTAAAGTAATAAATGTGAAAAGTGTTTTTCAAGCTCTAAAATGTAAGTTATTAATACTCTAGGCACTACACTACCAGAGCTCCTAGTTATTAATACATCCAGCTCTAATTTGAGGATCTTTAGAAAACTTAAGGTATGGTATACTTTTCATATATTCTTTCTCCATAAAATCTCAGTTGCCACACTGATGAGTAGCAAAGACCATAAAAGAGAATTTTGTATCTTTCATCCATTGACAGGACCACTGCTGTGGTGTGAATGGTCCATCAGACTGGCAAAAATATACATCCGCCTTCCGGATTGAGAATAACGATGCTGACTACCCCTGGCCTCGTCAATGCTGTGTTATGAACAATCTTAAAGAACCACTCAACCTGGACGCCTGTAAACTAGGAGTGCCTGGTTATTATCACAGTCAGGTGAGTCCTCTCTTTCCCCAAGAACTGCCAGAAGGTGCTTTTGCTTTTTATGAGGAAATACTGGTCACTTGTAAGTAATAGTCTTTCTGTAAGGAATTCTGCGTCCTTTATCCTAAATCTCATGTTAACTATTCCCTTGTCAATGAGTAAACTGAATGCTAATCTAAAGCTGATCCTGGCAGAGTCGTATTTTAACAAAATTAACAGAACATGAAAATTGTCATAGCAGAGTCCCACCATGTTTAAATGAAAACCATACAATGCATATAGAATTGGTATTTCCAAAAATATTTCTATTAAACAAAGATTTGCTCTATTTTTGCAAATAAATAAATAAATTCAAAGGCATGATATGCAAAAAGAATACTTTGTCAATTCCCAAACAATGGTAGTTGCAGAGGATAAATGCAGTACATCCATGGGAGCTCTGGTAGTATAGTGCCTAAGGCATTTGACTGCTAACCAGAAGGCTGGCAGTTCAAACCCACCAGCCACTCCTTGGAAGGAAGGTTAAGCAATCTACTTCCATACAGTTACCACCTCAAAAATCCAATCAACTTGATGGCAGTGAGTTTGGTTTTATATATATATATAATATAGATAGATAGATATAGATATAGATATATTTATTTATTTATCTATTTATTTATTTATATCCACGTTTCTTATTCAGTGGAAATGTTGCTGTCATTTTCTGTCCAGTTGTCTTCAACTTGTGATGACCCTATGTACAACATCACATGATGGTGCCATCTTCACGATCATTGGCATGTTTGAGTCCATTGTTACAGCCATTCAACTTAGGGGACTCATCTTCCAGCACTATATTAGACAATATTCTGTTGTGATCCATAGAGTTTTCATTGGCTAATTGTCAGAAGCAGATCACTAGGACTTTCTTCCTAATCTCAGTTTGGGAGCTCTGCTGAAACATACCTACCATGAGTGAGCCTGCCAGCATTTGAAATACCAGTGGCATAGCTTCCAGCATCATAGACAAGCCACCACCATATGATAAACTGACAGATAGGTGGCACAATGGTAATATAGTATATTATTGTTGTTGGGTGACACTGAGTCAATTCAGACTCATAGCAACCCTGTAGGACACAGTAGAACTGCCCTGTAGGGTTTCCTAGACTGTAATCTTTATGGAAGATCACCAGATCTTTCTGCTACAGAGCCTCTGAGAGGGCGCCAACTGCGAACTTTTCAGTTAGCAGCCTAGCACTTCAATATTGCACCACCAGGACTCCTGTTTAACGTTGTTGTTGTTGTTAGGTGCCATTGAGTCAGCTATGACTCATAGCCACCCCATGCACAACAGAACGAAGCACTGCCCAGTCCTGAACCAGCCTCACAATCCTTGCTATACCTGAGCCCATCATTGCAGCCACTGTGTCAATCCATCTTGTTGAGGGCCTTCTCCTTTTTTGTTGACCCTCCACTTTACCAAGCATGATATCCCTCTCCAAGGAATGGTCCCTTCTGACAACATGACCAAAGTAGGTGAGATGAAGTCTGGCCATTCTCGCTTCCAGGGAGCATTCTGGCTGCACTTCTTCCAGAACAGATTTGTTCATTCTTTCGGCAGTCTGTGGTACTTTCAGCATTCTTCGCCAACACAACTCAAAAGCATCAACTCTTCTTTGGTCTTCCTTTTTCATTGTCCAGCCTTCACATGCATATGTGGCAACTAAAAATATCATGGCTTGGGTTAGGCACACCTTAGTTTTCAAAGAGGTATCTTTGCTCTTCAGCACCTTAAAGATGTCTTTTACAGCAGATTTGGCCAGTGTAATGCATCGTCTGATGTCTTGACTGCTGCTTGCATTGGTATTGATTGTGGAACCAAGTAATATGAAATCTTTAACAACTTCAACTTTTTCTCCATTTATTGTGATGCTGCTTATTGGTCCAGTTGCGAGGATTTCCGTTTTCTTTATGTTGAAATGTAATCCATATTGCAAACCGTAATCTTTCATCTTCATCAATAAGTGTTTCAAGTCATTCTCACTTTCAGCAAGCAAAGTTGTGTCATCAGCATATTGCAGGTTGTTAATGAGTCTTCTTCCAATCCCTGTGCCACAGTCTTCTTCACATAGTCCAGCTTCTTAGATTATTTGTTCAGCATATAGATTGAATAAGTATGGTCAAAGGATACAACCCTGATGCACTCCCTTCTTGATTTTAAACCATGCAGTATCCTCTTGTTCTGTTCAAACAACAGCCTCCGTGTCTATGTACAGGTTCCTGATGAACACAATGAAATGTTCTGGAATTTCCATTCTTCTCAATGTCATCCATAATTTTTTATGATCCACACAATCAAATGCTTTTGCTTAGTCAGTAAAACACAAGTAAACATCTTTCTGGTATTCTCTGACATCAGCTATGATATACCTTGTTCCATATCCTCTTCTGAATCCAGTTGCTATTTCTGGAAGTTTTCTGTCAACATACTGCTGCAACCATTTTTAAATTATCTTCAGCAAGATCTTACTTGCATGTAATATTAATGATATTGTTTGATAATTTCCACATTCTGTGGGATCACCTTTCTTTGGAATGGGTAAAATAC